ATCACTTATGAGACCTTTAAAGTCCAATCCTTTGGCTAATTGGCTTTCAATAGAAAGAAGAGCTAGGCTGTTCAGTCTATCCTGGGACATTGTTGATCTCAAATAATTTTTCACCAGTTTCAGTTTGCTAAAAGCCCGTTCACCCCCAGCAACAGTCACAGGTATGTGCAAAATATCCTCAGTCCAATTACAAACTTCTCCAAAAATGCTCTGTGATTGCATCCTGTAGATGGCATTAAGCAGCTCAAGAGGAGACCGAATGTGTGGAAATGTGGCACCATATATTGTTCTCAGGTGTAGCATCTCATTCTCAAATTCAGCTGTGAGATCCTTGTAATATTTTCTCATCAGTGCCTGGCATGATATCTTCATCTGCTCTTCAGTCATGTCTGTCATGGTCCATGATGTTAAGCTTTGCTAATACTGATATATATTGATATATTAAATACATATGACATGAAATAAACCAGGTTCTCTCTGTGAATGTAATGTACTCTAAATTTTATAATCCCTGCATTATCAGCCAAATTATAAGATTGTCCGTTTTCAAGATCAAATATAAAGAAATTTAAAATAGGCTTAAAATATCTAACCAAGTCAATAACAATCCTCTAACACCAGTGTCATCATGCTATACGAAAAACAGTGGCAGCTTCACATTCCTGAGATTCCCACGAATCCATCGATACCAAGTTTGTCCTGGTCCATGACTGGGAAGGAGCTGAAATATCCACACAGAGTGAACCTGTTTTTACTGCGAGGTCCGCCAATTAATTGGCGGCGGCGGCCGCCCGCGATAATAATTCTGATTAATATATATATATTAATTAGTGTTTTCACTGATAACACTAATTCATTTATATTTGATCTTGATGGTGAAACTAAAGGCGTTTAACACTGAACACCTAACATGAATGCAGCTTCTGAGAGCTAGCTAATATCAGCTAAAACTGTGTTCAGCTGCTGCTCACCGTCCTTCTTGAAAAACCTAGTCAATACTTGCTTCTGTTCAATTAACTTTTTCTCCTTCTTTTCTTTTCTTTTCTGGAAGCCAGATTTCCCTTTCTTGGGAAAAGACATGACTGACTCTCCTGCCTCCAGCTCTGGCTGTCGGCATCTGCAGGGCCAGCTCTGGGTAATTTGGTGCCCAAGGCGAGAGTGCCCATTTGCGCCCCCCCCCCCCCCCCCCCCCCCCCCCCCCGCCTCTCACCCAAACCCAAGTCCACACATTGGAAAAAGCAACTCCACAGTTATTCCTTAGTTACTATTTTTTTATTTTAAATATTCACACAGCAACTCTTTAAAGTCAACAGCCTGAAGAATAAATGTAAGCTTGAAAGATATGTAACCTGAGAATATTACAACAACCACCAACTCAAAATGTTGTGCAAATGTCATTGGGGGGGATGCAAAATCAAAAGCAACATTAAACTGTACAATCAAAAGCAAAACTCAAATATCAGTGTCATCATAAAGAAAGTTCTACTTTCCATTTTGTTCAACTGCTGTGGCCAGTCAGCAGGATCCATGGGGCCAGCAGCTCACACATGTTCACAGACATCTGTTGAAGCTGATGATGGCGTCTCTTCAGGCTGTTGGATAGGAGCACTGAGTCTGCTGGTGTGGTGTTGGGTTCTTCTTCTGTGAGAAAATAAACACACACACACACACACACACACACACACACACACACACACACACACACACACACACACACAAAGCAACTTAACCCTCTGATGCATGAATTAAGAACAGTGCCACTTTCACATTCAAAAACAGGTGGAAGTGAGCGCATCCATGGGGAATATTTGAAAAAACTTATGTCTCACTCTCAGCTGCTCTTCAGCATCAAATAAATCGTAGAACATGAGGAAGAAGAACCGATGATCTGAGGCACTCTGAAGATTTCATTTATTAAACAAGGAGACACCGACACATTTCTGTACGACCTTCTTCAGGGCATAAACCTTTCTGCCCTGAAGATGACTCACTAATGTCACAAAAACTAACATCCATCTTTTTTTTTTTTACAAATTTACAGCCTAATTGACAATAACATCTTAAGGAGACAATTTCAGATGTGTATGTTGAGATTATTTAATATTCTCAATGCTAAATCAATGCTGCACTGATTGTGCCAAAAACAAGTGTCTGGTGTGGATTTAAACAAATTAATTTTGCATATCATATGTGATAAGCCGTTTAATTTGAAAAAGTCTGTTTCTACTGCTGATTACAAATAGCCTAACAAGTAACTTACTCACCTGGTTCTAGATGCTGAGATTGTAGCTCAGTAAATGTGCTGCTGCTGCGTCATGCCTGGATAGAAGACGCTGCAGCATAAACAAGAAAGAGACGGCATAAGATGTCATGCTGGGTTTAGGCAGTTCTCACTCCCCGCCGGGCCCGGCAGCAGCGGGGGAGTCCCCGCCACGGCCGCGGCGGTGCCTCCCGCCCGATGTGTCGGACAAAGTTGAAAATTTGCTACACCCACACCTAACGTTCTTCTGATATACAAATATTAAATTCATATTGTATGCGTACTTAAAACTTGAAACAACGTTCATAAAAGGCTGCAATCAAGCTCCAAAAGCCAGTAAAAAATCTTACATTCTTCATCATCACAGTGAGACTCAACATTGTCTCACTGCATCTGGACACGACGATTCAAACGTAAAATGAATGGGTTAAAGTTACAGATACTGTATTGTGTGTGTAAACAGCTAGCGAGGGTCCATCTGTGGAGTGCGTGGCAGGAGAGGCAGTTAGCTACAACGCTAACGCAAGAAGTTCCTTTGCAAAACTTATAAAGTCTACATACCTCTGCTTTGGGCCCGTTTTTATTCTTCTTCCTTCCGTCGCTTTCGGAATGCTGATCCCGATGGCTTAGGCGTTCTTTTCCTCGTAAAATATCAAACGTTTAAACGCGACCACAACAGGATGTCCTTCTCCAGTGCCACCCACACACGTGATCTCTATGGCAACCTTAACGGTCAAATGCATCGGAGCGGTGGCTCAAGCGGGAGCTCGAAATGCACTGCAGCCAGATCATTAGAATTTAAATATTGATGTTTTAATTTCATGTCATTTCAAAGGGGAATTTTGAGTATGTAGAGAGTGCATTTCATATTACAAACATGAATTTAATAAACTTTTTTTTTTTTTTTTAAATTTTGCACCCTATCCATCAGATGGCGCCCCAGGCGGCCGCCTGTGTCGCCTGTCGACAAAGCCGCCCCGCGCATCTGCGATGTCTCATAGCTGTACATGCGGCTGTGCAGCCCCTGGCCACTGGTGTGGACTAAACCACTTTGCACATTTTTAAGGGGTGATAGATGCCTCAGAGATTATTCAGTTATTATTTTTAAGGCGAAATTCTGTTTCTTAACCTCTTTATCCAGGTAAGGGGAAGTTTATTAAGACATTAAGTAAGTTGGGGGAAAAAAACAACAACAATAAAACATTTTTATTCAAAGCTGTCTCAGGGCCCCTCCCTGCAGTGGGCCCTGGGTAAACGGTACCCTTTCCCCCCCCAGTCCGACGCCCCTGCTTGTGACTAGCTTATAAACACACAACCATGCTCGTCTTCTGTACTCGACACAAAGTCACGTTATCGGCCATGTTACCATTACCTGCCATTTTTTATAGCTGAAAGTTTTATTCTAGTTTTTTTTTATTCTATTTTATTCTATTTTTAATCTTATTATTCATGTTATATGTAGCACATTAGTACCGAAGCAAGTTCCTAGTTTGTGAATTGTTTGTTCACTGACAATGGCAATAAACCTATTCTGATTCTGATTCTGATTCTGAAAAGATGATTTTGTTTATGGCGTATGTCATAAACTGTACAGATCAAGTGAAACACAGATCAAGTGAAACACAGAACAGAGAAAATAAAGATAATTGTGAAAGGTGCAGAGAGGTTTTTTTTTGGCAGTAAAGACATTTCATGGGAACATATCAATAAAAGACTTGGGGAGGAAGGGAAAGCAGGAGGTCCTAGTGACAGGACAGCATGATTGTATTACAATGGAATGCCAGAAGTTTGATTGCAAATGGACAGGAACTTAAGGGATTTATCAATAAATGCAAAATAAAACCAGATATAGTATGTATTCAGGAGACATGGCTTGAACCTAATTTAGATTTTATTATTGCAGGTTATGATGGTATCCGTAGAGACAGAAAGGAAGGTAATGGAGGAGGTTGTGTGACATTCGTGAGACAAGGAACTCAGTATAGAACTGTACACATAGGATCACAGTTAGAGTACATAGTAATTGAAATCTGGTCAAGAAATTGTAATATTAAAGTAAGCAATTTTTATAATCCAGGCAACAGAATATTAGATATAGATGAACTGGATACACATTTAGAGGGAAAAGTAATTTGGTGTGTGGACTTCAATGCGCACAGTTCCTTATGGGGCAATAGCAATGATAGGAATGGGGCAGTTATTGAGGAACTGATGGAAACAAAAAATAATGTATGTTTGAATGATGGAAGTGGTACAAGATTAAATATTAGAGCTGGTACAGAATCAGCAATTGACCTCACATTAGTGTCGGATTCATTAGCAGGTTTTTGTTCGTGGCAGGTGATTAAAGAAACAACCATTGGTAGTGACCATTATCCTATACTGACTGAACTTGAGATGACTATGGAACAATATGATACAGGGAATGTACAAAATTGGTGTTTTAGTAAGGCAGATTGGGAAAAATTTAAAATTATTTGTGACCAGGAAGTGGAAATAATAGATATGAATGTTGATGTTGATGCATTAAATTTTTCTGTTTGTAATGCAGTTTTGAAGGCAACTGACCAGGCAATAAAGATGAAGGTAGGTAGGGAAAAAAGAAGATAGTACCCTGGTGGACAAAGGATTGTGATGAAATTAATAAGGATCGAAATAAAGCTTTTAAAATTTTAAAGAGGAATCAAAGTTTTGTTAATTATACGGAATATAAAAAATTACAGGCTAAGGTAAGAAGAACTGTTAAAAATGCAAAGAAGGAGTATTGGAGGGGCTTTTGTAATTCAGTGGGGAGGGAGACAAAAATACAAAATGTTTGGTCAACGATTAAGAGAATGAATGGCATAAGAAAAGAGTATGTTTCGCTCCCTCCGGTTAATAGACGACACCACGGTTCTTCATTCACTGATGGATTTATTCTTCCTTCACACTTCTCTTCCAAAACACCATTAATCCACCGTCAAACTGTCATTACACCAAAGTACAGAATAACCAAACATAAATATTACAAATAAACATTAACCCAAGTTAACAAATACGCTATAAATAAACACAGTTAACGTACCTCGCTGGCTGCACGTAACCATAAGGGAGTGAATCCGCTTCAGGAACAAAACTTAACAAAAGTAATTCGCAATTTCTTCTTCTTCTTCTCTACAGCTTTCCCTTACTTTAAACTGCTTATTTATTCATTCCTGTGACTGCGTAGGTTATAGCTTAGCTTCTTTTCACATGCCCTTTGACTTCCCTTTTCGTCACCCATAATGGGCCGAGCGCAACACAGCATGAAACTTAGTTCCTACCCCAAAAGAAACAACAATAGACAAGGGAAATAAGATACATACATAACACAATAAATCAAACAAATTGACATAATTTACATTGTGGCAGTTAAACTCCCACCAAATCTCAACTTGAGATTTCCTCGAAGATTTGAACCTTCAAGTTATAAGCATTTACAACAGTTTAACACCAGCTTCAACCAGTAGAACTATTTTTTGCACCGGCCTTTCAAGATAAACTGGCCTAGTTGAATGTTTTCCCCGTTCGTCCAATGTTGAGTCGCTAACCAACAGCTTCACCTTTCTGACCCTTCCGTCAGCTCTGGGGTACACCTCTGTGACTCTTGCTAGTCTCCAGTGATTTCGCGGAGCACTGTCCTCTTTGGAGAATAACAATGTCATTGACCTTGATGTTTTTCTTATCCCCATGCCATATCTGTCTTTGCTGGAGATTAAGAAGATACTCCCTCCTCCACCTTGTCCAAAACTCATTCGCCAAGAACTTCACCTGCCGCCATCTCTTATGCAGGTATAAATCTTGACTTACGAACAGACCTGGAGGTGGCAATATGATGTTAGACTTCATCAGCAGAATGTGATTTGGTGTGAGCGGTTCAAGACTTGTTGGATCATTCAGGTGCTCTGTTGTCAGGGGTCTGCTATTTATTATAGCCATCACTTCATACAAAAATGTCCTAAGTGAGGTGGTGTCAAGTCTTTTAGCAGACTGATCAAGGATTGCTGTTAGGACACTTCTGACTGTCCTTATTTGCCTCTCCCAAATTCCTCCCATATGGCTTGACGATGGGGGATTCATTACAAACTCACAGCCATATTCCTTCAACTGCTCATGATCCCAGTTCTTCATTGAGTCCATGAACTCTCTTTTTGCGCCCACAAAGTTGGTACCTTGATCACTTCTCAACTGCCTAACATTCCCACATATTGCAATGAATACGTGCAATGCATTGATGAAAGCCTCCGAACTGAGGTCATCAAGCATCTCAATATGTACAGCTCTGCAACACATACAAGTGAAGAGAAGGCCATACTTCTTCAGTTCCTTTCTTGCATTCCTCACATAGAATGGTCTGAAGCAATCCATGCCACAATATGTGAATGGAGGGGTCATTTCCACTCTGTCCTTTGGCAAATCTGCCATTTTTGGGTCGTGCTTGTTCCTTCTATACTTTCTGCATGTGACGCACTTAAAGATATGTGAGGCAACGGCACCACTGCATCCAACAACCCATATCTCATTAGATCGCAATTCATTTACAGTCATACCTCTTCCTTGATGCTGCACCTTCTCATGATAATGCTTAATCAATAAAGAAGACACATGGCTTGTTTTTGGCAGAATAGCAGGATGTTTAACGAGCGGATGAAGATCACTTCTTGTCAAGCGGCCGCCTCTCTAAGCACACCCTGCTCATCCAAAAATGGACTTAATTTACATAGCTTGTTTGCTTTGTCTGGATTTTACGTCCTTGCATTGTTGCAAATTCTTGATTTCACTGCTGAATACTTCTCTTTGGACCAATCTAATTAAGAAAAGTTCAGCTTGTTGTCTTTCCTCAACACTTGTACTTCCATTGAGTTTGGGGCTAAGACCCTTAACTTGCTTAGCATGACGTTTAAGACAAGCAATAGCCTTAACAACTCTTTTCCAGTCAGAAAACTTGGTCAGGCGATCCACCAATGTTCTATTTGTCCTTGCACTGGTGATGTGTACTTGAGCCCTTTGAAGTTCTGGATCAGTATCACTAACCTCTCCCACCTTGGCATCCGTTGTGAGTAGTTCCCTTTCCCACAGAAAGTCTGGGCCAGTGAACCAATTTGAAGCAACGAGCCGATCTGCCGATAACCCTCTCGAAGCATGGTCCGCCAGATTGTCTTCACACTGCACATGATACCATTGGTTGACATCTGTGGTGGCTTTGATTCTCTGGATCCTATTTGCCACGAAAACATGGAAGCGTCTGGCATCATTCTTAATATACCCGAAAACAACCTTAGAATCAGTCCAATAATATTCCTTAAGGTTGTCTATTTCAAGCTCATGGTTTAACATAGCACCTATCTTCGCAGCAACCACTGCCGCAGACAGCTAAAGCCTTGGAATCGTTGTGACCTTAGTGGGGGCAACACGCGCTTTCCCCATGACAAGTGAGCAGTGTACGCTGCCATTAGAGTTCACTGCTCTTAGATAAGTGCACTCCCCATAACCTGTGAAGCTAGCATCTGAGAAGTGATGTAACTCGTACTGCTTGACATCTATGAAGCTTGCTGGTATGTAGCACTTCTTAATTTTTACTTGACACAAGTTATGGAGATCTTGTAACCATGACTGCCATTGTGATCTGCACTCCTCTGAAAGTGGTTCATCCCAACTAACTTTCTCTCGACTCAACTGTTGCAAGATCAACTTACCACACAAAACAAAAGGTGCTACGAAACCCAGAGGATCGTAGATGAAAGCTACTGTGGACAGCACTCCCCTTCTCATCATTGGGTGTTTCTTGACAGTTACTCTGAACTGAAAGTCATCAGAGGATACGCACCATTGCACGCCCAGTGCTCTTTCTAGGAGTGGCTCCCCTAAATCTATGTCCAGCTCTTTGACACTGTCAGCACATTCTTCCCTTGGTATTGATTCCAATACCTTCTTGCTGTTGGAAATGAACTTGTGCAGACTAAGCTTGCCTGCACTGCAAAGCTCTCTAGCTTCCTTGATCAGTTCAATTGCCTCCGCATCAGACATTACACTTACCAGTCCATCATCAACATAAAAATTTCTTCGGATGAACCTGACAGTGCTTTCGTTAAATCGATCCTGACCTTCTGTGGCTAGATGTTTAAGTCCAAAATTGGCACAGCCAGGTGAAGAAGCTGCTCCAAACAAATGGACTTTCATCCGAAAAACTGATAGTGGAGCCTCGAGATTATCATTCTCCCACCATAAGAACCTCAAGTAGTCTTGGTCTTCAGGCTTTACATGGAATTGATGGAACATTCGTTCCACATCACACATAACAGCGACTGGGCCCTTTCGAAATCTACAAAGAACTCCCACCAAGGTGTTTGTGAGCTCAGGACCTGTAAGAAGGTAGTCATTCAATGACATGTCTTGAAATCTTGCCGAGCAATCAAAGACCACTCACAGTTTCTCTGGTTTTTGAGGGTGGTATACGCCATGGTGAGGAATATACCAAGCTGATTGTCTATCAAGCTCCTCTTCTGGGACCCTTTCTGCTTCACCACGACTGATAATGTCCTTCATGAAGTTCATGCAATCTGCCTGATATTTCTGGTCTCTCTTGAGCCTCCTCTCCAAGCACTTAAGGCGTTGGACAGCACATGGTTTGTTATTTGGTAACTCTGGCCTACTCTGTTTGAAAGGCAGAGGCATTTCAAGATGTCCGTCTTCTTTGTGTCTAATTTCTTCTTTCATTTTGGTGAAAAACTGGAGATCTTCTTGCGAAAGATTTGCCTCTTCTCCAAGTCTTTCACTGAAGTCCGATTCCAGCACCTTAAGTACGTCTTCTGAAGCAGTCAGTTCTTTAATTCTTGTTTTGAAAACATAATGAACGTTGCTCTTCAGATTACTTGTTACTTTGGGTTCAGGAATCACTTGCCTTACAATGATGCGGTGACTTACTCCAATCGCATCACTGTAGTTTTCACTTGGATCACCATAGCTTACTATGCTCCAGCCTATGTCAGTTTTCTGTGCGAAGGGCTGGTTGTCCTCACCACATACAACTTCTCTTGGCATCAGTGCTTGTGGACAGTTATACCCAATAAGAAGACCGATTTCACAGTTCTTCGGTGGGGCAATGTGTTCTGCAAGATGCTCTAAATGAGGCCGTGCCCTTGCTGTCTCAGATGTTGGAATGTGTGTGCAATTGGCAGGTATGAATTCACGAGTGTAGACCGTTGGCACTGTGATCTTCTTAGAAGAAGATAACCCTCTTATTTGTAAACCTTTGATTCTTTTGCATGGTACAATTGTCTCCTTGGACGACATTGTGGACAGCTTCAACTTGACTGGCTCTGCATTAACATCAAGAGCATCCACTACTTCTTCAAGAATGAATGAAGAGTCACTTTGTGAATCTAACATAGCATAGACAAGGACCTCTTTATTTGAATTACCAGGCATTGACGCATAAACAGGAACTATTGCTGAAGGCTGAGCACTGTTACCATCATGTACAACTCTACTGGATGTGGTTTCTTGAATGGTGTCTTGCAGCGATTGTAGCTTTCTTTCCTTAATGCAACTTGTCCCATCATTTTCTTGTTGTTTTGAGCGATCCTCATGTAAGCATGTGGGGTGGCGCTTAGAGCAGGTGTCACAGACCATTCGGTTGCTGCAATTCTTGGATTGATGGCCAGGACTCAAACAGCCGAAACACAGTTTCTCACCTTGAATGAACTTCACTCGGTCAGCAACTGGCCTTGCAGTTAGTCTACGACACTTGTGCAAGACATGTCCGGTTTTCTTACAAAACATACATGTGCTTATGTTCTTCTCAGTGGTGTTAGTGGTAAAAATCCTTGCACTTGCTGCTTGGCTCTTTGGGGTCACTACATTCTGCGGTTTAGATCTTGTCCTTTCCTGCTCCCCTTGCCGCAAAGCATAGTAAGATGTAACAGGGTTACAAGCAATACTAGCCTCCAAGGTCAGGAAAGTTACGAAATACTTGAAATCTGGGAACCTCCCATGCTCCAGCTGATACTGTGTGGCTTTTCGGTTCCATCTGCTGCTTAACCAATCAGGCAACTTGGCTGTCAGCCTTTGATTTTCGACGTCATCATCAAGAATACGCAGACACTCATTGTGAGTCATGGCACATTCACAACTGCGTAAAAAATCCACAAATTTCCTTAAGTCAGCGCTCTCTCTTGACGCTATTTTTGGCCAGGCATGTAATTTGTCTCGGCAGGCCTTTGCAATCATAAAAGGCTGGCCGTATCTCATTGAGCAGTCCCCATGCAGCTACATATGCAGTATCTGAACCAATCAGGAAATAACCTTCTAATGCCTCTCTAGCTGCTCCTCCAACATATTTCTGAAGAAAGAATATTTTCTCTGAACTTGAAATATTTTTCCTTTCAATAAGAGTTTGGAAGGATGATTTCCAATGATTAAACTTGAGTGGATCACCATTAAAAACTGTGGGCTCTGGAATGGGTAGCCTATTTGCTGATAAAGCCTCAGCTAAGACTTTCACAAGCTCTCCTGTGCTGTCTTGAAGCACGTGTTGGCACTGCGTCCTTTGGTGATTGTGAGTGCCAGTTGTCAGATTTCATCTGGCTGAGTGGCTGCATAACCTTATGTAGATCTAGGCTCTGTGGAGCATTCCCTTGTTCTGGGCTGAGCTCATTCTCATCATACACTTGAAGCCTTGCTTTGGCTGCATTCATCCTTTTCAAATTCTCTAAACGATCAAGCTCTCTCTTTAGGTTCTCTACAGACCTCTTTCTTGCAGCATTCTCTTCTTGCTGTTTCTTTAAGAGAGCGGCCTCTTGTTTCTCTCTTTCTAGCCTGCGTTCGTTTTCTTCTCTTTCTCCTTCAAGACGACGAGCTAATGCGGCTGCTTCTTGGTCTGCGATGAACAACCTCTCTTTAGCTTCAAGCTTTTGCAGCTTCTCTTGGTGGTCCTCTTGTTCAGTCATAATCTGCAGTACAGCTCGTGTAGCTGCATACTCGGCAGCAGCTTCTTGTCTTCTAAGTGAAGATACATTTGAGTGAATAGAAGATGCTTTAGAACCATTAGAGGCAGAAAGTGAAACACTGGAAGTTGAAGATGCGAATACAGAACTGTGGTCTGTCCAAATCAACTCCTCAGCTGTACCCTGTATTTCAAATTGAGCATTTCGTAATACAGTCTTGGTGATCGAGATGCAGTTATCCATCTTGCGACGCATGTCATGGGATGGTTGATCAATTTTTCGGTAGTCATCATAAGCAATGTTCAATTCAGATAATTCCCTTTGAATACCGATGATGTGTTCTTGTAGGATGTCACTAGGATCCTGTTTTAACACAGATCTTTTAGCTACCTTAATTAGAGCTTTCCATCGTTCATATTTGCTGTCAAAGCGAAGCACTAGCCCCTTGATTTGCTCTTTCTGAAACTCCTTTCCCTTTTCTGTTAATGTCCGGGCTCTTTCACTTCTACGAGGCACTTCAGGTGGTGATATATTTTGCCCGATATTTGATTAATCTGTCTGCTCTAACTTGGTGTCTTCTTCCAGAGCAGCTGCTGCACCCTGAGCTTCTTTACTTGTATGTGACATTTTGATTATTTGTACACAGGCAACATACAAGAGCAAGCTGCAACACTATTTGTCAATACTGAATAAGGGGCTTAACTAACTAAAGTCACTCTCCATGTAGAATATTACAGAGTAAGTACACTTAACAGAGTTATTATTATAACCTGTCACACACCGAACTTGTAGAGACACTGAACCGTAAATACAAACTGTGGATGTCTACCAAATGTACAAGGTGTACTTCTGCTCCTTAAGAGCCAACTATTATTATTCAACTGAACATGAACTTACATCTCTTACTTAAGTGCACATTCATGTACGTGAAACACCGTGGCTGCCAGGTTATGCATAGTCCCTCTTAGTTTTCAACTCTTGTGTCACTTTTCAGACCAAAACTTTAGAGTCTGACTTATAGACTTCTTCATGAAAACCTTATGAACCTGTGTGGCCTAAACAGTGGCTTATCTGTGTTCCCGTCATGATGAGCTGCCGAATTTGCGCTGATAGGGCATGTTTGGGCCTCGAGTTTGACTTTCGCTCCCTCCGGTTAATAGACGACACCACGGTTCTTCATTCACTGATGGATTTATTCTTCCTTCACACTTCTCTTCCAAAACACCATTAATCCACCGCCAAACTGTCATTACACCAAAGTACAGAATAACCAAACATAAATATTACAAATAAACAATAGCCCAAGTTAACAAATACG